TCGCGGGGAGTGGCCAGGCGCGTCAACTGCAGGAGGCGGCCAACAGAGCACGGCGAGAGATGACCGAAGTATAGATCACATCGCGCATATTGGCGGGCACGAGCAGAAGTTGCGCTCTCGGCGCTTGCGAAGCTGAAAAAAAGGAACCGATGTAGAGGCCAAAGAAAAGCCCCATCGCACAAGCAGGACGCAGCCTGGCCTGCGACAACACGCTGCAAGCCGGCAAAGAAGCGACCGAGACGGCGCCGCTGCACTGCGGAATGCGGCGGCAGGGGATGGCGGCGCTAGAGGGCCCGACGCGGACATCATCGAGGGCATGGCGGAGCAGGCCGAAGAAGAGAGGAGAGCGGCAGCCCGGAGCGATTCGAGGAGTGCCCCACAGTGCCCCACAGTGCCGCAGGATCGCCGAGCAGCCCAACAGGAGAGAGGAGGGGCTCGACGCGTCGAGCGGCTCCACCGACCGCCCGCTAGAGATCGTGGACGAGAAGGCTGCTACATTCGCCAAGATCTGGCAGCGCGAGGAGACCGCGCGCGGGATGCACGCGGAGATGCTGACGGAGCTGAGGAACCGAGCGGCGGCCGAAGTGCCGCCGCAGTGGAGCGTCGAAGACTTGGACACCGCCCAGAGTGGCGAACCCGACAAGGGCCAGGGAGTAGACGGGCTACGTTGCAGCGACATCCGTCGCCTGCCGAAAGGAGGGGGGCAGGCGATCGTGGACCTGTTCAATGAGCTCGAGCTGCAGATGATGTGGCCGCGGCAGCTCTTGAGCTCCATCGTCGTGATCATGCCGAAGCCTCGGGCCCCTCCCCCACCAGGAAACAACACCAGGGCCTCGACAAATTTGTTCTGATTTGTTTGACATATTGATTGGTGGAAACAAATGCGGTTGTCGCCGCGCGCTTGCCCTGAATTAGCAAGGTCGGTCGACGGACGCACGCGAAGCGCGCGAGTTTCCTTCTCATAATTGTTTCTGCCGCGCGCCGCGTTTTCACGACGCACGCGCCACGCCTTGCCCTTTCAGACACAATCGCTCGCACTAGTGCGCGGACCGCATGCAGGCCGCAGCCCGCGCGCGATAGCGCGGCGCACCGCAGCGCGCTTCGAAACGATGTTGGGCACAATGACATTTTTACCGCAACGCCGCGAATTTGTTAGCCACCCCGCGCGGGTGATGCCGAACGCATGCGTGTCCCACCGCACGTGCGCCGCCGGAGCTAATTTTCCGATTTCGGTCGTGAATTGGATTGCGGGCGCGTGTCAGGCGCCCTCGACGTGTCACGTAGGGCCGCGCATTGGGGGTCCACGCATCATGTCGGAAACATGTCATCGTACTACTCTCGCGTTCGCCGGGCGATTCGCGGCCCTAACGGGCGCGCAGTAGCATTGCGCGGCGAAGGGGGGGACATGGCGGCGCGGCGGGGGAGGAAGAGGAGGAGGAGGGAGATTGGCAGGAGGAGGAGGAGGGAGACGATGAGGAGGAGGAAGAGGGCGAGGGGGCATGGTGGCGGGCATCCCCGACTTCAGCTTGCCTGGCCCAACCCTTCGGGGGGGGCGTCGTTCGGCCGGGGCGAGCACTGCGTGGAGTTCGCCCCAGGAAGTTCCCATCGGAGATTCGGGGGTGCGTGAAGGCGTTGGCATTCCGATGCCTGTGGCGAACCCCGCCGCTATGCCTGCGCTGTGGGTCGCAAGCCTTTTGGATGCTGGTGCAGGTTTGTTTTTTGTTTGGGGGTGGGGGGATTTCCAAGATGCCTTGGGGGCTTTCGTGCAAAACTTGCAAAGCCTCGTGGACGCTCTCGGCGGCGTCATGGGCCTTCAAGTGGTACTCGTGGGAGCCTCGCAGGGGCGTCGAGGAGAAATCTGGGCCCTGCTGCGGACAAGTTGGGGCTGGTGGTTGCAACGATGTTTCACGGTTTTCCCTCATACTCCATACCTCTCCCTTTATCGCCCTTTCTTCCTCCTCCCTACTAATTCGTCCACCCTCCCCCCTGCCCCATCCCTCCCCTTTTCCCTGGCTTTCCCCCTCCTTGGCCCTCCCTCCCCCTTTTCCACATCTCCCCCTCCCCCTCCCACCTCGCCTCATTAATTCGCCCCCCCCCTTCCGGCCCCATCGTTTCTCTCCCCCTTCCCCCTTCCTCGTCGTCGCCCTCCTCCTTCCCCCCTCTTCTCTTGTTTTCCGTTCCTGCCCCTCCCTGCATAATATCTTTCTTTCGGCGCGCCCAACGCATCGCTCCGCGGCCCCAGAGGGAGCTCCACCGGAGGCGCCAGTGGCAGGGTCCACAAGGCGACGCCGCTCCATTTGAGCGCACCCATCACACGGCTTGCGGCCCCATAGGGATCTCCACCGCAGACCTCAGCGGCAGGGTCCGCCATCTTGACAGCAGGGGGGAACTCTCAGGGCCCTTCTTGGGGCTCTGTTGGGGCCCTGTTGGGTTTATCTTGGGGCCCTTTCGGCGTCTTCCGAGGCGCGCGGAGAGCCCCAGGACGGCTCCGAGAGGCACTGAGGGCCCCAGGACGGGCCCTGAGCGCCCCCGGCCCCCCTCAACCACCCTCATTATCCCCCCCCTCCCTTTCCCCGTTTCATCCGCGCCTTCCGACTCATCCTCCTCCTCTTCGCCGCATTGCCCCTCCCCCCCCCTCATTCGCGCGCGCCTCCCATTCCACCCCTCCCCACCAGCCTTCCTGCCAAAGGAACATGGCCGTTGCTTTAGGCGACGCGCCAGCGCCTTCGGCGAACCGCGCTGCAACGAAAACGCTGCGTTACGCGGCGCGACCTCGTGGATGCACCAGATCGCTTCGACAAGCAGCCCAACCGAATTGACCGACAAAATGCCCACCCGGACCGTCGAACAAAATTGCCGCGGGGCCCAGGGGGGCGCATCCTAATTGTGAACTTACAATGAATCCGCCCCGCAGCGAAAGCCAGGAACGGTTTTGTCGCGGCACTTTCTGGGGTCGGTCCGATTTTTTGTCGCGGCCGTCCATTTTTTGGTCGGCCCGCTTCTTTTTTTTTGTCTGCCCATTTTGTCGGGCCGATTTGTTTGTCGGGGTTGTTTTTTTTGTCGGGGCGGTTCAGTTTTTTATCGGCCAATTTTGTCGGGGCAATTGTTTTTTGTCGGCTGGGCGCCGCCCGCAGCGCATAGATACTGGGAGGCCGACGGGTCGAATGGCAGCAAGGGCGCACGCACGCAACGCATAAGGATAACACTAAGGAGCGCGAGCCAGGGCAAGGCAAAAACAGCACGGGGCCGATGCGAGAGTGGCGGCAAGGGCAGATGATGACGAAATGAGAAAGACATTTGCTTGTAGAGTACGTGTCCCGACGGATCCACGCACAGCGGGCGCCGAAGTGATCGCGGCACCTTTTCGTCTCCAATCTGTAACCTCGATGCCAGCATCACAAACGTACGCAGGATGCTCTGCGGGCACAATGCTAATGAGTTCCGCCCCGCGCGCGACGCAGCAAGCAGGCGACGTAACTTAATTCTTGCGCGCCGAGGAGCGGGCGGCCACGCATGTCAAGAAACTCAAAGAGTCCCTCGCGGTCGCCCACGGGGCCTCGCGAAGGCTTAGTAGGACCTGGACTAAGATAAGCTTGGCGAAACACCCAACCATACGCAGCTGTGGGTACCAAGTGGGGCCATGATTGCGCGGGGGGGGGTGCGCCGAGATGGGGCGGCGCCGCCATGTGGGCCACGCCACTCGGGCCCCCGGTGGAACTCCATGCGGGGCCGCGAACCGAGCGAAGGGTGCGCCCAAATTGGGCGCAGCCGCCATGTAGACCCTGCCACGGGGGCCGTCAGTGGAACTCCATGTGGGACCACGAACCGTGCGAGGGGTGCGCCCACATGGGCGGCACCGCCATGGGGCCATGCCACTGGGGCCTTCGGGGGAACTCCATGTGGGGCCACGAAACGCCTGAGGGGTACGCCCACATGAGGTGGCGCCGCCACGTGGACCCCGATCCAGCATGGATCCTGGCAGATCGGCGGGCCTGGCGAAAGCATGCAAGGTATCCAGGAATTCCGGGGCCTGTCCGAGCCCATCGATATCCTCCTGCGCGAGTGCATAATCTTCCTCGCAGTCATGGTCGGCCCGCGCGGCGCAAAAAATAATTACCCTGCCTGGCCCACTCGCGCGCCAGACTACTAGCAGGGGCCATTCCACCATACCTGGTGCAGCGGAAGCTCTTCTGTTTCGGGAACCCGTACTGGTCGCAAAAGTTCAAGGGGAAGCCCGGGTTCGCAAACGCGGCAGCACGATTTATTGCGTTCTTGCCCGCCGCCACGTTGCCGACGCCGCCCCGCTGTCTCACGCGAAAGTACGTCTCGCGTGATCGCGTCGCTTTGGATGCACAGCGCGGTTCTCATTATGGTTTTGCGTCCCCGAGAATTTTCAGAAGGGCGCCTGGCGACCTGCAGTTTTGCGCAACGAGTTGCCACCGCGCCGCGAATTCAGGCGACGCCACCGCCCTCGAACATGCGCGCGCGCACCCGCGAGCCCACGCGTTTGTAGGTTAGCGCGCGCGGGCACGCACATCGCGTTTGCTTGTGTGCCTTTTGCGTTCATCATGCTGTTGTGCGCAGTAGTGTCGCATGGGGCTCGCGCGTGGTTGCGCGACCTTCAATGTGTCATTGAACGCAAGTGCGCCTCTGATGTGGCTGTCGCAATGCCACTTGCTCCACTGTGTTTGTTCGATTATCATTGCTACCGCTGTCATTGGCGCGGCGGTTCCTGATCGCAGCGTCGCGATTGGTAGGCAATTCGGTCCGCGCCCTTTCGCGCCAAACGCTGTTATCGTTATCCCCATCGGGGCATCAGTTTGCAGCGGGCGCTCGCGTTCTCGCGTTCGGTCAGCCGAGATTCGCCCAACGCTATACCGATAATTTGGCGTTTAAGCGCTTATTTTTTGAATTACGTTTTGTCGTCAAAAGCTTCGCCAGTATAATAGCATTACTGAGAAGCACGCCGAAGGGCACCGCGCCTGGCCCTCCTGCCTCAGCTGGCCCGGCGCTGGGAGCTGCTACGCAGGCCTGCAGTCAGGGCGCGGGCGAAGCAGCAGGAGCGGGACAATGGCGCAGCAGCGGGAGGCACCAGTCGCAAGAGGGAGGCAATGAGAAGGATCTTTCCGGACGAGTGCAACAGAGCGCTCGGCATCCCCCAGGGCTGCGCGCTGGCGGACATCGAGCGATTCTACGACTGCCTGCGCATCGACACGCTGATCCCTGAGGCGCTCGCGATGAACATCAGCCCGCGCCAAATCATTGCGCTGATGCGCCAGCGCTCGAGCGCGCGCGCCGCGAGGTGCAAGAGCGCATGTTCAATGCCGATGCTAGCGGAGGGACCGATCCTGGCAGGCTCGGGGCACTCCAACATCGTGGCAAAGACGGCGGTGCACGCGGTGCTGGGCCACAGGCCGGACGCAGCAAACACTCTCGCAAAGCCGATGCCGAGGGCCCGGTTCGACGACATCAGCATCAATGCGGTCGACAGCAGGGACGCGGTGGCAGAACAGCTCGTCGACACCACATACAGCCTCAAGGAAGGATCTCAAAGAAACGGACTCGACCTGGCAGACTTGTCGATCATCTTCGCACGGATTTCGGCACCACGTGGTACGTTGTGAGGGAGCTAGGCAGGCGCGGCGCGAATGTCAAAGCAGTCGCAGAAGGCCGAGACTTGGGACGCGATAGAGTTGCAAGGGGCACGACACAGAGACGGACGCACGCGAAGAGGGCGAGAGACGCGAGCAAGAGTTTCGGCACTGTCTGATTCAAGCTCCGAAAGATGAAGCTCAGGAGAACAGGAGGAGTCGCGCACCAAGGCCCCGTGGCCTCCCCCATGCACGGGGCAACCGCGCACGGGCTGTCGCTGTGGGCTGCGATGGCAGGGGGGAGGCACGCGCAGGCTCTACGCAGGGCCCGGCCAGGAAGACGCCCGCGACCTTCTTGGCGCTCGAGGGCAACGACCCCGCGATGGTAATAACGGGGAACGAGGTGATGAAGCGCATCGAGCTGTGGGCCAAGAGATAGGACCTGAGGGGGCAGGCGCGCAAGGCATGGCCGAATATTTGATTTCGGCTAAAGCGTCGGAACAGCTCAGAAGATGGCAGAGCGAAGAGGAGCCATGGGCAGCACCACCCTCATGGTCTGGGAGCCCGCATGGGACTCGAGGGCCCGACATCTGGCTGGGCGCGGAGGGCAACCAGTGGAGGTTCCCAGAATACGAGGAGGACGACGACCCCGCGGACATCATGGGCGCGCCGCTGGCAGACCTCCAGAAGCACGTACGGGGGCAAGCAGCCCTTCGCCATGACGGCGCAGGAGCAGAAGCAGGAGTGGGAACAACCGGCTTGGCCGAGCACCTGGAGCACCTCAGGAAGCTAGCAAAGCACCAGGCACACGGCGCCCCCCTTGCAGCTGCCTGCGCGGGGACTTGGACAAGGAGCGAAAGCGCCAGGAGTTCGGAGAGACCGATTGCCTCTGCGAGCGCGGCCAGAAGGGGGATGACTACCACCGCATCGGAGGCAGCTGCGCGGCGAAAAGAAGCCAGGACATCATGGGCAAACAGGGGGGCTCGCGAGAAGAGCCGAGAGAGGAGCTGAGGAAGTATTTGCGCTCTGGCTGAGAGGTCTCACGCCGATGGCCTGGACCGCGCCGCCACCGTGCGAGACAGTCGAGCAGGGTTCCAGCTGTGCACTCAAGATGGAAGACTCTGGCTATCTGGGGAAGGCACTGTCACGGCGAGCGGAGGCGGATCATGGGGCGAGTGCAACAACGACGACCGCCACAGGAGATGCGGCTGGGGATGGGCAATACTGGACACACAGCAGAACGCGAGGCTTCGAGGTGAAAGCAGCCAAGTTCGGACCGCTGCCTGGAGCGAGGCAGAGCAACAACCGTTTTGACATATGGGCACTCATCAACTGGAGTCCACATGCGGCAAGCTCCACTACTGGACGGACAGCGAGATCGCCTGCATCGGGTGGAATGCAAGACGCGAAGATGCAAACCGTAAGGCTGGCATGCACCACGTGAACAGCCACGTGAACGAGGAAGAAGCAAAGGCAATATTAGCCCCTAGAGAAGCATGGGAAGGCAACCAGCTGGCGGACCGCCTCGCAGACGCAGGAGCGCGCCAGCAGGCAGTCCCCGAGAACCAGATGAGCTGCTACGAGTGGGCGAGGGTCACGGCGCGCACGGTGAGATTTAGGATCGCCGCATGCACGCAGGACGCCACTGAGAGAAGGCCGACGGAGCACCGAGACCTCAGAGCAGCGAGGGGAAGAGAAGTTCGAGCCAGACGCGCACAATGAAGGCTGGAGGCGGACCACCTGACCGACGACGAGCAGAAGCGGACACCTACCACGCGCAACCTGGCGAGGCCACGCCAAAGACGCGGATGGAGACGCAGGTGCTGCAACCAGGCGGTCTCCGAAACTGCGGCCCTCACCAACCTGCAGGAGCGGTTCGCCCAGCAGCGCGGAGACCCCCTCCCCGAGACGTGCGCGGGCATCGCGTGTTCTCCCGGAGTCGAGTCGCACGCGTCGCACCCGCTCAGTTGGCGGGGGAGACAAAGAAGGTTGTAATGCACGCTATGCGCGAGCTCTGCCACGGAGTCGGCGTCGGTCAAGTTGCAAACAGGATGCAGAAAAGAGCTGGCCTGGGACTCGAGACGGCGCCAGCTGACGGCATGGACGAAGCTCGCCGACGCAGGCGGCCGGCAGAAAATGAAGAAGGAGAAAGGTGCCGGGAAAGCGGGAACCAAGGAAAGGCCGAAGCCGAAGAAGGAATAATCTGCCGAGGTAGCAAAAGCTGAGGAGGAAGTGGACCAGCGCCAGCAGAGCACAACGGGCGAGGTCTCCGGGCTGACCACGGCGGGCAAGACTGAGGACAATACACGCGCCTGGCGAGGAGGACTGCCGCCAGTCGCCCCAGAGATCAGGTCGCCAGATGATGGGGAAACAGGTCGAGAGTTCCTGCAGGCGGAGCGAGAGCGCGCAGCAGCCACGCCAAGCAGGAGCGCAGAGGAGACGCATTGAGCCCAAGAACAAGCTGCTGCCGCTGCGAGAGCTGAGGAAGCTGCGGGCGAGACTGCGGCCCCGCCGACGCCGCGGGCGCGCCCAGCGCCGCGGCCGCCCGCGAGGGGGGCGGAGGCGCGGGGCCCCGCAGGCGCTGGTCCGTCGCGGCCGCCGCGCCCCCTGGCGCGCAGCCACCCGTCGCCCCCGACGCCGTCGCCGCCGCCGCCCCGACTCGCGCGCCATGAGCGGGCGAGCGCTTGGCGGGCGGCGGGCGGCTGGGCGGGCCCGTCCACGACGACTTGCGAATCGCCTAGCGAATCGCTCCCCCTCCTCTCCCTCTCCCTCCCCCCCCACTCAGCCGCCGCCTCTGCCCGGGCCTCTTGCAGGCGGTGCTGGCGCCGAGCCGCGGGCAGCAGGGGGGGGCGCTCAGCCATGGGGGCCGAGCCCTGTGACCGAGGACGCCACGACTGATCGGCTGGAACCCGCAGTCGGCCACAGGCACGCGGCTCGAAAATATTCTCGCAGTCTGCGTAGCGCTTGATGCACTGCTCCTCGCTGGAACGCAAGCGCGCGGCCGACGAGCGCGGGCCCCTCTCCAACGACGCTTGGCTGGCAAGCTTGTCGCGGAGGCTGAGTACAGCCCTGGGCAGACGACGAACAAAAGTACTGGCTGTGCCATCGCGCTGGGCCGAGGCTCCCAGCAGCCCCACATTCGCCAGATCTGGGGCAGCCCCGCGCGCTCGGCATGAGGGTCAAGCGCCATCACTTAGACCATTTACTGTTTCACCGCGAACCCCCCCCCCCAGCCGAAGGGCAGGAACGACGTGGGCCACTACCTCGCCACAGCGCGCGCTTGCTACATGGCTGGACAAGCTGCTTGACTCTCTTCCACGAAGATGCTGCCCCATCCTGCACACAGATGCGAACGACGGCGCTGGCCTCTGCAAACATACCACAGCCTGGCAGCCGCGCGAGGAGAACGTTGTGGAGCAAGCAGCTCGCGAAGCAAGGCGAGGCGCAGCAGGTGAAGCACAACGACGAGCATCAGCACGCCACCACCTGCTTGTCTTCAACTCCCGAGGTCGTCGGGAAGGGATTACATTTTCTGAGTAAAGAAAGGCAGCGGCCCCATCGGCTACATCTTCGCGCCGTGGGGCCGCGCGGATCAGATCACAAGATGCCGCGCCCATCGCAGATCAGGAGCACAACTCCAATTGCGCCGAGGCAAACCTCCGCTTGATCATCTGCCTCTCTTCCTCGAGCTTAGCGCCCCCGGGGGGCCCGTGGTTCCCCGACCTGTCAGGGATCCTCACCGTGACAAAGGCGGGCTCCTGGACGCGCTGAAGGGCGAAGGGGATGGCAAGGCAGCGCGTCTCAACCAGATTGAGCGGACCCTGGAGAGCGAGCAGGCACCCCTGATGCGTTCTTTGCTCACCTCGACCAGGTCCTGATGAAGGCCAGCCTAGATTGCTTTCGCGGACGCGCTGGCCCAATGCGCCAAGAGCAGAATCGCATGCGCCGTGAGCTTCTACGACGGCGAGCTGAATTGAGGGGACCGGGGAGCGAGGATGACGCCGACCTGGAGAACATCAATGAGCAGCTGGAGGCCCTCATCGACGCCAGGAGGCTCAGGCGCGTAGGAACCAGATCCAGGAAGAGATATGCAGCGTGGGAGCATCGTAAAACATCGCTGGCAATGAGATTATCACGTCGGGCAGCCAGGCGCCACTTCGGCCCAAAAAGTGAGATCTCTGGCTAGTTCGCACACGTATGCCAAGTCGTGAAGAGTGGCTCCAGGTCTGGAAACTTCCAGGAGGTCAGGGAGGTGCGTCAGCACTTGAAGATTTTCCTCCAGCACCCCCTGCAGCTGTTTTCACAGGCCCGCTCTGCCCGCCCACCCCCGATGCCATCAACATGGCCCAGGAGGATTACGAGAGAGTCCAACGCAAAATCAATGGAATGTTGCGTTGTCGGGGTCTCTTGAAGTCCTCTTGGAACCCTCCTAAGGCGTCTTGGGCGAATCTCGGGCCGTCTTGGGACCAACTCGGGCCATCTTGCAACGCTCGTGGCCTCGGGCAGTGGGGCCTGCCACCCTTTTGGCGCCTCCCTGGAGCTCTCCTGGGGCGCTCCGGAGGCCCCCCCCCCCCCCCGGCCGCGCCCAGGAGCTCCGGCTTCCGTGACCCGGACCTGCCAGGACTTTGCCGAGATTTTTTGCATGGAGCACGTTTCGCTCAGAGGCCCCAGGTGCCGCCACGCGCGCGCGAATTCGAAACAGTCTTAAGTCGCTTCAGCACGCCTCTGGCCCGCTGGGTCGCGACTTTGTTCGTTCCTCCCTCCCTCCCTGCCTCCCGCCCTCCTGCCCCCCCGTCCCCCACATGCAGCGAAAGTGGCAACGACGTGAAGCCGCCCTCGGACCTAGGCCCTGGTTCCAGGCTCTCTCTTCGATCGGGGCTCGACCGACTCGGGATGCCACACCGGTTCGCCCACTCCTCTCCGCAGTAGGCCGAATGCGTCTTCGGCTTCTCGAGCCTGCAGCGACCCGCACCCTACTGGTACCGATCCCCCCACCGAGGAGACCCGCGAGGAGGCCCGCGAGCAAGCCGCCAAGGCGCGCGCCGAGGTGCGCCCCCCGCCCCGTCGTTTCGTCGCCGCCGTCTTCGTCGCCGGTGCCGTGGCCGTCGCCCTCGACATCCCCGTCGAAAGAGGAGGGAGGAGGGAGCCGCGTTGGCTCTGGCTCGCATCGCTGGGAGCGTCGTCGTCGTCGTCGTCGGTCCCCTCGTCGCCTGGCCGCTCGCTGCGCGCCATGCCGCAGCTGACGACTCGCCGCGCCGCCTGCGCTGCGGCCCGCGGCGCTCTGGTGGCGACGCACGCTGCTGCTGGGCTCTGCGCCAGCGAGGGCCGTGACGCTCTTCGCCTGGTGCGGGCGGCCGAGGGCCTCCTGCGGACCGCTGTGGCCGCCCTCGGCGTCCCTGCAACGCCTGGTCCGCCTGCGCAGGAAGCTCCGTCGGCGGGCCGCCCTCGGCGGCGGCAGCGCGGGCGCGGTGGCGGCGGGGCTGCGCGCAGGCCTGCCTCTCCTGCGGCGGGTATGGGGGGGGTCTCGAGGTGCGCCCAGTGTCCAAGATGGAGGTTGAGGACGCGGGGCCGTCCCTGCTGGGCTGGAGCTCGAGGACGACAGCCGGGCTGACGAGGCAGCGCTGGTTGTTCGCAGCAGTTCGGCTTCGGGTGCTGCTGGTGCCAGCGCGGTACGCGACGAGGGTTCCGTGGTGATTCCGGGCCGTGCCGAGGTCATCAGGAAGCTCGTCGAGGCGCACTTGCAGCGTGGTTGGCCCGACCCCTCGACGGACATTGCGCCCTTCAGCGACGGGATGCTGCACAGCTTGCTGCAGGAGTTGGCCTCCGGTTCGCTGGGTGGCTGAGCGCTGGCGGCTAGCGCTTCTGGTGATCTCGGTCCTCGTGGGGCATCCTCGTGGAACTCGTCTGAGTTTTTAGCTGTTTGGGGAAAGTGGCAATGACCTTTTCTTCATTAGAGTACAGTGCAGGAGGGAGGAGGGGGAGGGAGGAGGGAGGAGGGAGGAGGAGGAAGAGGAGGAGGAGGAAGGAGGCGGAGGAGGAGAAGGAGGAATGAGGAAGGAAGAGGGGAGGAGGAACGATTATGAAGGAAAGGAGGAGGTGGAGGAGGAGGAGGAGGAAGAGCAGGAGGAGGACGAGGAGGAGGAGGAAGGAGGCGGAGGAGGAGATGGGGGAGGAGTTCCCAGGGAGGAGGCGCGGCAGGAGGAGGAGGAGGACGAGACTGAGAAGAAGGAGTAGGACGAGGAGGAGGAGGAGGAGGAGGAGGAGGAGGAGAAGGAGGAGGAGAAGGAGGAGGGCGCCGTCGGCGGCGCCCCCGTCGAAGACTGAGGATGGGATTTTGGGATTGCACATCTGATTCAACCGCTGGCTTGCCAGGACAAAAACTAGCTTTAACTCGCCAAATCAAGCTGGAGCGGGGCCCCAAACAGTGCGCACAAAGCAGGCACAGACTGGGAAAAAAACAATGCTGGTGTGGACATTCACCACGGGCGCCAGGACAGCCGAAGCCGACGGGACGCGCTGCCCCGAAACGCCGATGGTGAAGAAGGCTAGAGAAGGAGGAGAAGGAGGAGAAGGAGGAGGAGGAGGAGAAGGCAAATTTGCTTGTGTCATCTGGGCGAAATCGAAAGCAAACTTGCGGATTGGTTCCAAGGCCTCGCAGATCCCAGAAGTGGTGGGGTTCTACACGAGGGGTGGTTGCAACACCAGCGACGCCTAACAACCAAACTTTGCACGCAAGTGAACCGTTTGCGAGTTGGACGGCCGGCCGCACAATGTTCGCCTTACAAGTGTTTTCTCTTCAAGTGTTTGGGCTTTGCCAGACTATGGGTTTGAATGTTGCGCGAAACAGGGTGCAACAACCCCTATCAGGGTTCGACGCTTCAGAGCAAGACCAACGACTAGAAACCAAAGTGGAGGGTGTAGCCCGATGAGCAGGAGCAGAACCATCGAAACCCAGTAATCCGAAGCTGAACGCAATTGAATCGGCCCAGCTCTAACATCCTAAGCCTGACGCCCTTGCCCTGACACTCGGACCCTGCCAGGCGGGCGGGCGCCGCGCGGACGGGCCTTGACGGGCGGGGCAGATTCTTTCGAGTTTATCTGTGGGTTTCTTGCCCTGGAGGCTGGAGGGATCATGAAATTTGATTTCCGTGTATCTCATTCCTCCTTCTCCATCTCTTGATGCTTGTCCCGATTTCGCCGGATTTGATCGACATCTTTCCGAAGTCTGGGCGAAATTTGGACGACATCTAATCGAAATCCGGTCGAAGTGTGGACGACATCTGGACGAAATCCGATCAGCATCACGTTTATGATGGGGCCGCGGATGTCCCCAGACACCAGGCCGTTCCAATACTTTCGAGGCGTGGGCCCCAGAGGTCTGGACCACTTCCCCAGGGCCGACTCCTTGTCTCGGGCCGCCCATTGACGGTCCCGAGGCCTGGCGCGGGCCCCCGAGGGCCAAGAGTGGCCCGAAGCCAGCCGCTCCAGCTCTGCCGCAGCGTCGCACCTCTGGGCCCACATGTGCTCCCCCTGCAGGCCCTCCACCTCGCGGGGCCGGGCGCGCCTCCTCCACGCGCGCCGGGCCGACCGCGGGGGCGCGGGGCCCTCGCCCTCCGGCGCTGCCCCCCGTCGGGCGTGTCCCCCATACAGGGGAATTCTCCACGAAAAACAAAAAATACCCCCCAAATACCCGAAAAAGGCCCCCCCCCAAAAAAAACATTCAAAAAATAGTCCCCAGACTATTTTTTCAATGATTTTTTGACAATTTTCTTTATTCTTTCCGTCGAAAATCCCTCTGTAGGGGGACAGGCCCGACTTAAACCCAGAACGTTGGCACCGATCTTCCGCTCAGTTCCCCCTTCTCCGAGTCGGGAATTTATACATGACCACCGCCTGGAGGATCAATTTCCGGAGCCTCGACAGGCGGTGGATATGGACATATTCGGGCCCGCTGGGGCACCAGGACGTCGGTTCCCAGGCGGTGGATATGGATACATCCCCGCCTCGCACCTTCCCCCTCCGCGCTGCTGCTTTTTCGGGGTGTGCCCTGTCGCAGGTGCTCCGGGTGGAGTGGCGCCCTCCACTTCGGGTGCTGACAAGAACCTCCCTGATGGGCACACTCGTTCCCTGTTTTGTGGTGGAGAGGGCGCGCTCGGCCGCGACACGCCGAGCCCCAGTGGACACGCACCTCAAAGTTGGGTGCTTGCCGGGGCTGCGGATTCAGCCAGAGGCGGAGGAATCAGCGGAGGGCGAGTTGAGGCAACGACCGCGTGCGCAGTGCCTGCTCGAGAAGGCGTCCGCGCGGGAGCCGTGCCCCGAGCAGCTGGGCGCACGCGGCGGCCGCACGGAGGTGCGAGCGCGGGTCGTCCCCGGCCCTCCGCCGCGACCACGCCCTCGGGCCTGTCCCTGTACAGGAGGGAAATTCAAAAATAGTTTTGATCAAATAGTCTGTGGACGGTGTGTTGATTATTTGTTTGCATTTGGGGCGTATTTTTCGAGTATTTTTAATTTTTCGCCAAAGCTCCCCCTGTAGGGGGGCAGCCCGACCTAAGCTTAGCCGTGAGTTGCTTGGCCCGCTGTCTCCCACCTCCCGTGCGGAAGCGTACGCGTCTTCAGGTGCACCTCGCGCTCGGGTGTTCAGGGTTGGGTTTCTTGCGAGGGTCTCTTCCAATCGCGCTCGCATTGCAGTCGATCGTAATCGACGTCGCAGTCAGGCATCCCACGTCGGTCGCATACCAGGCGGGAGGCGGCGCAGGAGCTGGGGGAGCGCGGCGCGCGCCGCCGAGGGAAAGAAGGATAGCCACTGCCCGGCAGGTGTCAGGCAGCGTGGTCCGACCAGCCGCAGAACATCAGCCGACTCGGGGCACTGCGCAGCGGCGCATGCCAGGTGTGCCCGCCGGAGGGGCCGACTGCAGGGCAACGGCCTACGCCGTTGGCGGGCGCAGTTCGGCGCGGCGCTCAAGCGGAGCGTGGCAGCGCAGCTGCTGGCACAGGCTCGCGGCCCCGCCAGGCGCGCGGCAGCTGAAGTCGCGGTGCCCCTGCTGCGGCAGGGTCAGATCATGTGTGCGTAGCATGCGTGATCTGACCTTTACCTTGACCTGTAGGTTGCCCTCCCCTGATCCTCCCCGCAGTAGACGACCACCCGACCAGCGGAGGAGCAGGAGGCGGGAGGAGGAGGAAGGACGGGGAGGAGGAAGTTGAAGGCGAGGCCGAGGACGAAAGGGGGGGGACGAGCAGGAAGAGGAGTACGCGTGATCTGATGTTTGCCTTGACCTGTAGGTTGCCCTCCCCTTTTCTTCCTCACCCTTCCCGTCCGCTCCGCGTCGTCCTCCCCTCTCCTCCCCCCCGTTTTCCCCCCCTCCCACTTCGCCCTGTCCGTTTCTGGGTGTCCCCATACAGTAGGTTCGTTCATACGACGACGGCGCGCCTGCGACGCCGGCGAAGGCGTTCAAGGTTGAATTCTATGACGTGGGAGCACCGAGGGACACGGCGATGCCCGTGGATCCGACGGAAGTCAACTTTGAACGATCAGGGCCGCGATTGGTTCAAGGTTAATCGATCGGTGCGGTGTCAAAAAACCTCTGCGCGTGCCGACGCCGCACGAACCTACCGTGGGGGGTTTTGGAAGCCGTCAGAGGGTCACGCGGTGCCCGAAACGCCCGAATAACACAGAAACTAGCACGTAGACTCAACAAAGCCAACAAAAAAGCAAGCACATCCAGCACGGTTCGAGTAGGGGATCGACTACAGAATATGTTTACGCCAAGTTTGATTTTCTCGTCGAGTCATACTTCGAATGTTCGTAGATATACCAATCTTCTGCGCATTTCTCATGGATTCGAAAAGAAAATCAATTCTTTACGCTTCGCGTATCCCCACCAGCCCGTCCAGAAACGACGCCCAGGCGAGTAGAGGGTCGTCCTGAGGGGCTTTTCGGCGTCTTGGGTGCCTCGGGGGGGCCTCTTTGGGCCGTTTGGGATCCTCTTGGGGGCCTCCTGGGGGCCTCTTGGGGCCATCTTGGGGCCTCTTGGTGCCTCCTGGGCGCTTCTTGGGGCCATCTTGGAGGAAATCGATCAAAGAAGAGGGGAGCTTCAATTAGCGCTGCCCCCTCAGAAGGCCAAACTGGGGCCAAGGCTTCAAAGAAGAGGGGAGCTTTAATTAGCGCTGCCCCCTCAGAAGGCCAAAATGAGGCTAAAACCGTAGTAAAATCAATGATTTTCGCTTCAAAGAAGAGGCGAGCATTTTTCTCCCCCCCCCCGTCGGGGCCACGATCCTCGTGAGGGGTGTCGAATTTTAGCCCTCCCAGGAGTCGACAAAGACCCCTCCAACGACCCGCGGAAGGACCTCTCCAGGCCCAGGGGGAGGGGGTAGGGGGAGGGGTAAACCCCTCCCCGAAGGGGAAGAAGGGGGTTGAGAACAGAGCGGGCTCCCTAAACCACTCACGCCCAAAGGGCTGGTGGGATTCTGGGGTAAGTCAATTCTGCAGTCGATCCCCGACTCGAACGGTGTCAGAACCCGCGCAGGATTTCAAGGCATGTGCAGTCGCTCCGACGGGGGGCAGCGAGAAATTCCAGGAGCGGCCAAGGCGGGAGACGGTTGGACGAAGGCCCTGGCGCCTTCTTGGTGAAATGTTCGAGCCTCGACCTGAGCTATGCCTGTCCCTTCGGGTCCAGGCGGGCGACGCCAGAGAATCGCGACGGTCAGTTTTTCGGGCTCATCGGCGTCTGGAGCTGCCGAGGAAAAGATCAGGATGAAGTCTTACCGCTTTGGAAGGGGTCGAGGGCCCCCCAGGGGCCCGTGCCGCGAAGGAGCAGGCCAACCCCTTGGCCTCGATCCCCTGGGAGCTCGGACTCGCTTCTGCTCGAGCCTCGGCCCTGGGCCTCGCGAGCTCGCGCGCACGCGCGCGCACACGAGCGCGCGCTCGAGAGGCCGAGGCCGAGGCGAAGGAGCGCGTGAAGGCGGCGGAGACGCAGGCGCCCGGGCGTCGGCGGGGGGGACCTGCCGCCGGCTGCCTCTGCTGCGGCTCCGCCTCCGTCGCGTCGGTGGAGGCCGCACACCCGCGCCGCGATCGCGCGACGAGAGGCGTCGCCTGGAAGCCCGCCGTCGGAGGAGGGTCGCGCGAGACAACGGGGGTCCGCGGCGGCGAAATCCCGAAAACTACCCCCGCCGACAAACGATTCCAGCAGCCCACTGCGGCGGAGGCAGGGGTTCGGGATCTGCCCCCGCATCCCATCGGTCTAGGAGAGTCGATGGTGGGTGCTGGGAGGGTTCGGATGTCGCCGCCCAGTGGGGCCACGCTGCGAGACGACGGCGGCCCTCCCCGGCCTTTTTCTGGCCTCTCTGGGTCCCGACGGGGGTCTCCTGGTCGTCACGGCGTGTCCCCGTGACGTCGGTTCCCAGGCCCGGATATCCACCGCCCGGTGTGTCCCCGTGACGTCGGTTCCCAGGCGGTGGATATGAATAAATCCCCGCCTCGCAGGATGAGCAGCTGTCCAATGGCTACCCTTGCGTCCTTCCCCTTCGGCCAAGCCTGGACCGCTTTCGCTGGCTGCGGCCCGCTCGCAAAGTGTCGACATCATGGCCATCAAGTCCCTTGCATCCATAGCGTGCGTCCTTCTTATACGGATTGACTGTAGAAGGGGAGGGAGGGAGGAGGGGGTGGAGGATGTTCCAGGTAGGTAGGCGGGTTCACCATTATTATCATTATTGGAGTCATTCAGCTTCTTTGTTTTCGCTGGGCGCTCACAGGCCCCAAGGCCACTCCGTTTCCAACCCGACCGAAGATTTCAGGGTCACATCCCATAGCACTTGATCGAGATCCATTGGAATTGGAGTTGGGCTGGTAGTTCCAGTCCGCAGCGGAGTCGCACACGGGATAGAATATAGGCTTGAGTCGTCGCCGGGAAACATGTATCTAGAAGGATTCCTCTCGCTTCGCGGGGGTGCACGTCTGGACCACGTACAGTCCAGTTGTTGCGGGGCCTCTTGGGAGCTTCTTTGTGGCCTCTTGGAGGTGTCTTGGGTGGGGGCTTCCTGGGGCCTCTTGGGGGCGTCTTGGGCCGTCTTGGGGCGCTCTTGTGGCGTGTGGCCCGTTCGGAGGCCGTCCTGGGGGTCCCTCGCGGCCGTTTTGGGGCTTTGTTGGGGTCCAATTGAGTTGGGCCGTCTGAGGGCCCGCTTGGGCCGTCGTGGACGCCTTTTGAGGGCTTCTTAGGCCGTCTTGGGGCCATCGTGTACCGTCTTGGTCACGTCGTCGCGGGGCCTCTTGAGAGCCTCTTCGGGGCCTCCTGGAGGCCTCTTGGGAGCTTCTTTGAGCCTCTTGGGGACGTTTTTGGGGCCTCTCCCCCATCCCTCCTTTTCATACTCCCTCCCCATATCCCCTTCCAGCGCCAGCTCTGATCATGGGCGCCGCCGTGACCAACTTCCACCTGGCTGGCGCTGCGCCGCAATTCGCCCGGGGGGGGGAAATGACAGTACACTCCAGTCGCTGTGTGGGCTTTGGGGGGCTTCTATGGGGTTTTCGGGGGGCTTCTTGGAGACTTCTTGGAAGCCTCTTGGGGGCTTCTTGGGGCCCTTTGGGGGCCTCTTGGGGGCCGCTTGGGGCCTCTCGGGGGCGTCCTGGGCCGTCGTGGGCGTTTTTCTGCCGTTACGCCCCTTCGGACCCCGTCTTGGGGGCCTCTCGCGGCCGCCTTGGGGCCCTCTTGGGGTCCTCCTGGGCCGTCTTGGGGGCTTCTTGGACCGTCTTGGGGGCCTCTTTGGGCTGCTTGGGGCCCTCTTGGGCCGTCTTGGGGCCCTCTTGGGGACCTTCTGGGCTGTTCTGAGGCGATTTTGGAAGCTGCTTGGGCCGCAAAGGTGGGAACGCTGAAATATAGCCAAAACCATAGGGAAATCAAATCAATGATTTCGGCTTCTGGAGGCGCAGTTGCGGGCGCTCTTGGGGCCCTCTTGGGCCGTCATTCGGGTTTTGTGGGCCCCATTGGGCCCATGTTTAGCCGTCTTGGCGCCATCGTGGCCCCCCAAGAGGCCCAAGAGGTCGAAATCATCGATTCACTTTAGGCTTTGGTAGGTTATTGAGCCCCGGGAGGGGGGTCTCCATCTTGGGTCGACGGATGCGGCGTAGCCCCTGGGGGGGTAGGGGAGACATAATAACGCAACGCAGTACAATATGTGGCAAGGATGCAACAATTGCATACATTGGGTACGTTGCATTATCGTCTCCGCAGAAAACGCTGCCGCTCAGCACGTCACTTCCGGACGTGGACTATAGGCTTACGCCACTTCCGCCGACCCCTTTACTGAGTTCAAGGGTTTGATGGTGCTTTTCGGTGTTTGGAGGCTTCTTGGGGCGAAAGGCTCGAATTTTCGGTTCGGGGTTCCCCTCTTGGGTCCGTGTTGGGGCCTGCTTGGAGGCTTCTGTGGCCGGTCATGAGGCCTCTTGGGCCGTCTTGGCGGCTTTTTTGGTCGTCGGGTGGTCTCTTGGGCCGCCTCGGAGCCTTCCTGGGTGCTTTTTGGCCCGTCTTGGACGTGGTGACAGGCCAACAAGCGAGTATGATAAACACAGTCGTCTACCGAAGGGAATTGGACGATTTTATCGTCTTCGGCCGTTCTCCAGGAGGCACTTGTAGGTCGCTGGCGACGTCTTGCAAACATCCAGGACCGCTGGGGACCATTGCGAGAGTTTTGAGACGAGGTTTCGGCGACTTGAGGCCCTCTTGGGCCGTGTTGCGGGCCTCTTGGGCGGCCTCAAGGGATCTGATGGAGCTTTAGAGGGAGACCGGGGACGCCATGATCCCCCGTGGTGAGTTCGGGCGTGCGACTTCCGCGGCCAGAGGGGGAGGGTCACATTTCCAGGTTGTAGTCCCAGGTGGTGCGGGCGAGTATGGCGCACCCAGCGCAGGGCCGGACCATGGGAGTAGTGATAGCGGACTTCGAAAGAAGGCGCGGCGTGAGCTGGATGTCAAGTTACGTTGCCATCAGGCGCGTGCACATGCGAGGAAACTTTTTGATTTTCCGGCCCTTTTGACAGGGAACCGTACAACGAAGGTGAGTCGGCTGGTGCGTAGAAGCTGTTGCAGGTGCTACGAGAGGAGGGCGTGGATTGGGATGAATGGGAGGCGGAACTGATGCCCCGAGACCAGTGCGAGCGCTGCCGGCGGAGGTTGCTGGTAGATGCGTTCACGAAGTTCGAGTTCCAGAGGAAGGAGAGGCCGGCGTTTTGCAAATAATGCACGGGGGACATGAAAAACGCGGATGAGAAATGGTGCACAACGTGCACGGGGTGGGCAACCGAAGCGGAGAATGACGGCGCGACGCGGCGCGTCAGCGGTCGGAGCGGGGACGCAGCGGCCGACGAGGGGGAGGCAAAAAGGATTCGGACGATGAACTGCGCGAAATGCAGCCGCGTCAAAGCCAAGCAGAATTCGCGGAGCGGCAACGCGAAGTGGAACGAGAGCGGCGGCACAGTGCGATGTTCGAACGACAAGTGTCTCTCGCTGTGCGACGAAAAGGCGGATATGTCGGAAGCTCAGAAGAAGCGCGACGCAGCGGGGGAGAGGTTGCGACGGAAGTGCGCGGAGAAGCGGGAGAAGGCGGCGTTGTGGACAAATTACGAAGCAGGGAATCGCAAACGGAAAGCGGGGGCGGAAGCGGAGCCGCCGATGTGCGGCGCGCCCGGTTGCGGGGTGTCCTTCTGGGACGTCGGCCATTTGAACCGCAACCACATGTAGGACCACTAGAAAGGAGCAAGAGTGGTGTGCGAAAGCTGTCACAAGCGGGGCATCACAGCGAAGGGCGTGGCCGATGAGTCGAAGCGGTTGAAGCGACTGTTGACGTGCACAGTGCGCAAGAAACAGTTCGTTCGACAGGATCACACAAGCGCCAAACAGGAGAGCGAACACTTCACGAGAAAGAGTAAAGTTGAACGCGCATCTTGCATTGCCGACGGGCTCACGTCGCGCAACTGGCAGGCCTTTCAGCGCAGTGGTAACTGCCAGAGGAAATTACCGAAGTCGGCTTTTTTCCGTGGACGCGAGCAATGTCGCGCGTGACGAGAAAAAGGACACCATGACATGCAAGGCACGAAAATGATACCAGTAGGGCGCCCGCGCCATGGCCCGTAGAAGTAGGAGCAGCGGGGGTGCGAGCGAGAGGGAGGACGACGCCGATGAAAAGAGCAACGCAAAGACGAAGATGGACGCGGAGGAGGAGGAGAAGAAGGAGCAGGGGGAAGATGGGGGAGACGTGGGAGGGGAGGTAAAGAAGAAGAAGAAGAAGAAGAAGAAAAAGGAGAGGAGGAGGAGGAGGAGTCGGGATCTTGTCATGAGGCGCCACGGGGGCGTCTTGGAGATCATACATGGGCCTCTCGGGGGTTGTCTGGGTGCCTGTTGGGGGCATTGTGGGCCTCGCTTGGCGCTCCCTGGGGCCCTCTTGGGAGGTTCATGCAGCAAGTTGGGGGAATCTCGGAGCCAAAAGACGGGGAAACAAAAACCCTCGGGGCTCCCTTCCGGGCCGTCTGGAAGCCCTTTTGGCCGTTTTGGGTGTTTCTTGGACCGTTTTTGGGCCCTCTGAAGCCTCTCTCGGCAGATGCCGAGGCCGTCCTGGGAGGATGTGGACGGTGTCGTGGCCCGTGTCGGACGTTGCGAAACCGCAAGAAGCCAATATGGTAAAAACGAACGTTTACCGACGGGAATGGGACGATTTCTGCTTCTTGGGGCTGGCGTGGGACGCCTCTTGGGGGCCTCTTGGGTCGTCCTGGGGGCTTTGGAGGTTGTCTGGAAGCCATCGTGGGCGTTTTGGAACGATATTTCGGCGAGTTGTCGCCCTATTGAACTTTCACGGAGGCGTTTTGGTGCCCTCTTGGCTCGCTTTGGGGCCCTGTGCTCCCGCATGACGCGTTCGGCGGTGGGCCGTCCAGGGCGACGGGGGGGGGGGGTCGAATTGCCGGTTTGGGGTCCCAGGGGGGGGCTTCTGGGGGGGGGATGAATCCCACACGCCTTAAGAACCACAAGAGGTCGGCGGATTTAGGGGTATGAGGGTGGGCGGAGGGCGGTTGGCGCGTAAGCTGCCCGAGTACGGTCGCGCGCAAGCGCTCTCATCTTCAGTGTAGCGCGCCGCGCTGGCGGCCCGCGCAAGCCGCCGCGTAGGGTCGCTATGCCATCTCGCGCAAGAGCCGTTTCGTTTCGTCGCCAATTTGTGGCGCAGTCCCGTGGGTGCGACTTGCAGCACCCAGGAATCCGCGCCGCGCCATAGCCAATACCGCAGTCCCTGGCGCCCCAAATTCCGCGCATCGAGTCCCTGGATCAGGGCAGAATTCGAAGAATAATAAGTTGCATAATCATAAACTGTCGGAGGTCCGTTGGGATTGCTTGGGTCGGCGCTGGACCCTCCTCCCTGGCGCGCGAAGAGCGACAGGGGTGGCGCCGACGGCACCGCCAGGGCTTAGCGTCGATCCAGGAACTCCGCGCGGACCTCCGACAATGTATGCTCATGCTGTTTAACAGTATATGAGATCCGTCGTTGCGAAAACGAATCGACATATTGGACACGCGCGACTAGATCCCTAGACCCAATATTTCTGTTTCCTGTTCTCGGGACATATCGATCAGCGAGGGTCCCAGGGCACAAAACGAGGCGAGCTCGCCCTGTGCGATAAACACAAAACGCCAGGAGCTCAGGGCTCCTCCAAGAGCCTCTCCTGAGGGCAGGGGCTGCTTGCGGAACTGGCTCCGGATATCTCTGACGGCCTCCTCCCCCCGCTGGTCATCGTCGCCGCCGCCTCCAACGCCGTCGTGATCCTCCTCCTCCTCCTCCTCCTCCTCCTCCTCCTCCTCCTCCTCCTCCTCTTCCTCTTCTTAGTCCTCATTTGGTCCCTCCCTCAGGCTCCAGCCTCTCGCAGGGCTGTGCCATCCATCCTTGTTCCTCCTCCTCCTCCTCCTCCTCGTCCTCCTCCTCCTCCTCCTCCTCCTCCTCCTCCTCCTCCTCCTCTCCCCTCCTGGCATCTCTCCCCCCCGCCGGCGCCCACGTCCGCGAGGCGCGCGCCCAGGCCGACGAGAGGATCGCCGAGGCCGAGGCCGAGGCGAAGGCCAAGGTGCCCCCCCCCGCCCTCCGACCCCCCGCAGGGGCAGCGTTGCGGCAGGTTCGTGATGGGGGCGGCGACCACACGTAAGGGTGACCTTTGGTGCGGGGCCATTGGGGGTCCCCGATCGCCGAATGCGATGCGATAGCTGCGTCCTGCGCGCGTGGGTTTGGCCGCGCACCACAGGCCACTCGTACCCAGGATCACTCTTGCGTGTAGCCGGAGGGCGGCAGTTCTCGCATTCTGTGCGCTGCAGCTCGATGGTGGCTGGTTGGTTTGGGGCCAGTTGGTGGATGCATTCTCCGAAGTGTCCTCTCGGCACGGCATCTCAATATCTACATCTCTCCATCTATATATATATATGTATTGTATACATATATACACATGTAAACGTTCAGACACCTATATATACAACCGTATATAAGGTTTGAGATATACACACATCTATCGAAGACGCCCTCGGCGATCACCACCGCCCCTTGCCTTATTGGAAGCGCCTATGTGGCCGAAAGTTGGGCTAGAGCTATCGGATAATGTGTTCCCCCAGCTGTCGTTGAAATCTTTCGGGGAACACATGAGGAAGAAGCTAATGATGATAATATGGACAAGGAAGTAGGATGAGGAGGAGGAGGAAGGAGGAGAAAGAGGATGAGGAGGAGGAGAAGGAGGAGAACGCCTCTTGGAACCTCTTGGGGCATTCTTGGGGTCTCCTGGGAGCTTCCTGGGGGCCTCTTGGAGGCCTCTTGGGGGCCGCTCTGGCCGTCCGTCTGCGGGCGTTCCTAGCCCGTCGGAAGCCGTCGGAAGCCGTCTTGGATACCTTTTTGAACCGACCTGGGGCCCTCTTGTGGCGCTTCAGGGCCGTCTCGGAGGCAATTTTGAGCGTCTTGGAGACCTCTTGGGCCCTCTTGGGGCCGTCTTGGAGGCCTCTTGGGCCGTCCTGGGGCCATCTTGCAGGCCTTTGGGACCACCTAGGGGCGATGTTGGGGGCCTCTTGGGCCGTCTTTTGGCCGTCGGAAGGCCTAAAAGAAGCAAATGCCCAAAGAGGCAGATGCAATGATTTTGGCATCGCCGGGCCCTCCTGGAGGACCTCTTAGAGGCCTCTTGGGCCGTCTTGGAGACCTCTTGAGGCCATCTTTGGTCGTCTGGGAGGCTTCTTGGGCGGACTTTGAGGCATCTGGGACCTTCTTGGGCCGTCTTGGAGATAATCTTGTACAGTTTTGGGCGAACTTTGAGCCATCTTGGCCGTATTGGAGGCCATCGAGGCAGTCTTGGAGACGTTGGTTGCGAAGCGGCGGGGTCTTCTGGGTGGCCGGCGGCGTGCACCGACGCCCAGGGGGAGTTTTTCCGGAAAAGAACCCAAACCAAGCCGCAGGATCTAGCACGCCAGGCACCCCATGTGATAAATCAACAGGGGGCGGCGGATCGAATGGCCATCGGCCCATCCCGCCACCGTGCTTGGGTTGTGGGTCAGAGTTCTCAGGAATGTTTCGTCGGGTCTCTTCGGAGCGCTCTCGGGGGGCTATAGGGAGCAGTTTTGGGGACCTCTTGAAAGCCTCTTGGGGGCCTCTTTGGGCCTCTTGGGGTCCTCTTGGGGGCCTCTTGGAGGCCTCTGGGGGCCTCCTGGGGGCCCCTCGGGGCCGTGGGCTCGATATGTCCGTTCGGGTTCCCCATCTGGGCATGACCTCAGTGACAGCGTTAGAGGGATAGGCTCAGGGGTGCAGGCGAAGGCCAGGGCGCACTCGCCCTCAGAACCCCTTACCAGGGGAAACCTTCGGAGGGGATAGGCTCCAGAGGATCGAGGTTCGAGCTTTAAGATTCGAGGTTTGCGCTTTCGAGGCGTTTATGATCATCCTGTGGCGCCCTCGTGGCCACGGCTGGGTCCGCCTCGAAATTCTGGTCAGAGCGCAGTCCAGGAGAGGTCCAGGGGCCGTTTGTTTTGACACTCAATCAGGGGCAACATTACGTAGGGAGGGATAGGCTCAGTGCAGGATACGCTTAGGGTTTGTTTCCGACGTTGGCGGATGACGGGAAGCGTTTTCGAGGAACGAGAAGCGAGCTGGACGTTTTGGCTGAATCCTCCTCATATCAGTACGAGATCTCTTAATTATAGGGGGGGGCGGGCCGCACGGTGTACCAGGCTTAGCGGATTCCTCGGGATGGCGATTTTACGTGAGATATCCTCACAAAAATAAGATCTTCGCGACATCGCGTTTAACAAAAACAAGCGTTTCGTTCGAGACATCCTCGAAAAGTTGATGACAGCGAAATGTCGTCGTCTGTGAAACAATGCGTTTCGCTCGGGACATCCTCGAAACAATGAGATGACGACTGAAATATTTAACTAACTCTTATGTTAAGAATTGCGATTTCGCTAGGGACATCCTCAGAAAACGAGCGGCAGCACGGCGGACCAGAACGAAGAGCACGGCAGAAAATTTGCATTTCGCTAGGGACATCCTCAACAAAATGAGATGTCCTCAACGTCGTCTTGGTATCGTTCTCGAAGTGCCTCAAGATGAGGAAATGAGAGGCCACAAAGCACGTCAAGATGGCTGTCAGAACGATTGGGGGACTTCCGAAAATAGCGATTTCGCTAGGGACATCCTCAAAACATGAAAACACACACCAGCATCGACTTGAAAACTGTTGTTCTTACATAGTTTTGACGTTGCTTCTGAAAGGGCTTCCAGACGGCCCATGGCAGCCTTCAAAAATTGTCGATTTCGCTAGGGACATCCTCAAAGCATTGATGCGTGCGACATCGCATCGTAATGATTTTAGGAGGGCATCAGGAAGCAACAGAAGGTCACAACATGGTCCCAAGAGCGCCCTTAAGGTTGCTGAAAATAGTGATTTCGCCAGGGCCATCTTCAGAAAAATAACAAATCGAACAACATCGTTTTGAAAACTGCTGTTGTAACACCGTCTGGGGATCGCTCCTGAAAAGGCTTCTAGATGGTTTAAGCCAGTCATCTAAAAATGACGGTTTCGCTAGGGACATCCTGAAAAAATGAATGTGTGTGTAACATCGGACTGTAACGGTTTTGTCAGGCATCAAGAAGGCCCCCAAAGGCCCCAACCAAGCCCAAATTTGACCCCCAGGAGCGCCCTCGAGACGATCCAAAATGGCGATTTCGCCTGAGACATCCTTACAAAAATGAAATGTTCACAACATCGATTTCATCAAAAATGAGTGTTTCGCCTGAGACATCCCTTAAACATGGTAACCCGCGAATTCGACAGATGTTCAAAAACTAGCGTCTCGCCTGAGACATCCTAACAAAAATGATATCTCGGAGTGGCGGTTTCAATACCTCTCATGTTTAAAATCGCGCTCTCGCTGCATACATCCTCAAAAAAATGGACGGAGCATGGCCGGCGAAAAAAATGCTCCTTCGCTCTTGACGTCTATTCTGCCGTGCTCTTTCGTTCTTGGGGTCTATTCTGAAATGCTCCTTGTTTTTTTGTGCCGTGCTCCTTCGCTCTTCTAGCATATTCTGCCATGCTCCTGGCCAGTTTCTGTCACAATCCTTTGTTCTTGGGGCTTATGATGCCGTGCTCCTGGTCGTTTTCTGCCGTGCTCCTTAGCTCTTGGGGCACATTCTGCCGTGCTCCTTCGCTTTCGGGGTTTATTCTGCCGTGCTCCTTGTGTTTTTCTTGCATACTCCTTCGTCCCTGGGGCGTATCATGCTGTATTATTGCATCTATCTTGCCGTGCTCCTTAGCTCTCGCGGTCTATTCTGCCGTGCTCCTGGTCACTGGTCGTGTTTTGCAATGCTCCTTCTTTCCTGGCGCCTATTCTGCCGTGCTCCTCAGCTCTTGGGGTCCATTATGCCGTGCTCCTGTTTTTGTTTCTGTCATGCTCCTTCGCTCTTGGGGCCTCTTCTGCCGTGCTCCTCAGCTCTTGGGGTCTATTATGCCGTGCTCTTTGTTTTTTTTCTGCCGTGCTCCTTCGCTCATGGGGCCTATTCTGCCGTGCTCCTGGTCTTTTTCTGCCGTGCTACTTAGCTCTGGGGTCTATTCTGCCGTGGTCCTGGTCTTCTTCTGCCGTGCCCCTGAGCTCTGGGGGCCTATTCTGCCGTGCTCCTGGTAATTTTCTGCCGTGCTTCTTCGCACTTGGGGCATCTTCTGCCGTGCTCCTTGTCTCTTCGGGCCTATTCTGCCGTGCTCCGCGTCTTTTTCTGGTTTGCTCCTTCGCTCTTCGGGCATATTCTGTCGTGCTCCTGGTCTTTTCTGGCGTACTCCTTGGCTCCTCGGGCCTTGTCTGCTGTGTTTCGGTCTTTTCTGCCGTCGTCCTTAGCTCTTGGGGCATCTTCTGCCGTCCTCCTGGTCTTTTTCTGGCGTCTTTTTCGCTCTTGGGGCCTATTATGCCGTGCTCCTTAGCTCTTGGGGTCTATTCTGCCGTGCTCCTGGTCTTTTTCTGCCGTGCTCGGCAGCACTTGGACTCTATTCTGCCATGCTCCTGGTTTGTTTACGACGTGCTCCTTCGCTCATGGGGCCTATTCTGCCGTGCTCCTGGTCTTTGTCTGCCGTGCTCCTGCTTTTTGTCTGCCGTGCTCCTTCGCACTTGGGACATTTTCTGCCGTGTTCCTTGTCTCTTGGGTTCTATTCTGTTGTGTTCCTCGTCTTTCTCTGGTTTGCTCCTTCGCTCCTGGGGTATATTTTCCCGCACGCCTTCAGCTCTCGGGGTCTACTCTGGCGTGCTTCTGTTTTTTTTTTTTCTGCCGTGCTCCTTCGCTCTTGGGGCCTATTATGCCGTGCTCCTGGTCAGTCTCTGCCGTGCTCCTTAGCTTGTGTGGTCTATCCTGCCGTGCTCCTGGTCTTTCTCTGCCGTACTCCATCGCACTTGAGGCATATCCAGCCCTGCTCCTTAGCTCCTGGGGTCTATTCTGCCGTGCTCCTGGTCTTTGTTCTGCCGTGCTCCTTCGCTCTTGGGGCCTAATCTGCCGTGCTCCTGGTCTTGTTCTGCCTGCCCCTTAGCTCTTGAGGTCTATTCTGCCGTGCTCCTGGTCATTTTCTGCCGTGCTCCTTGGCTTTTTGTGTGTATTCTGCCGTACTCATTTGCTCTTGGGGTCTATTATGCCGTTATCCTTGTTTCTCTCTGCCATGTTCCTTCGCTCTTGGGACCTATTCTGCCGTGCTCCTCATCTTTTTCTGCCGTGTGCGCCCAGAAGCTTTGCCAAAACGACCACCGCGACGATCCGCACGGCAGATACAGGAACACGGCAGAACACACAGAGCACACAGAGGCACGGCAGAACACAGAAGCACGGCCGAACAGGAGCATGGCAGAACATACAGGAGCACAGCAAAACACACCCCGCACGCACGCCGACACGCGCGCGACGGCATACTTGCGCGGCATAACAACAACAGAGCATTTTCCTTATGGTTGGTGGACTATACGGGGTTCGGCGCTGCACCGATTTTTTCGTTGGCGGATGCCCACAAGCAGCGATATCGCTCGAGACATCCTCCGAATACGGAGGTGTTGGAGGCTATCGTTTAAGACGTTTTCTGTAAACAAGTGACATGTTCGTTCGAGACATCCTCAGAACATCGGGATGTCGAAAAATGTCAAGTATTTTGTTGTGCATGGAAATTAGCGTTTCGCCCGAGACATCCTCGAACAAATGATTTGTTAGAAAAGCTGTTTTGCCACTTCTCATATAAAACATTGCGCTTTCGCTCGGGACATCCTCAGGAACTCGGGAGGGGCGCGGCAGACCGAACAAAAGGAACACAGCAGACATTGATCATTTCGCTGGGGACATCCTCAACAAATGAGATGTTCGCAACATCGCCTCCACATCGTTTTCGAAGTGCTTCAAGACGAAGAGATGAGAGCCCCCAAAGGAGCCCAAGATGGCTCCAACAGCGCCCTGGAGTCTGCCGAGAATGACGAGTTATCTAGTCTTTCTGCCATGTTCCTGGTCTTCTTCTGGTTTGCTCCTTCGCTCTTGGGGCCTATTCTGCCGTGCTTCTTAGCTCTGGGGGTCTATTCTACCATGCTCCTGGTCTTTTTCTGCCGTGCTCCTTCGCTCTTGGGGCTTATTCTGGTAATTTTCTGCCGTACTCCTTGGCTTTTGGGGTGTATTCTGCTGTGCTCCTGGCCTTTCTCTGCCATGCTCCTTCGCACTTGGGGCATATTCATCCCTGCTCTTTAGCTCCTGGGGTCTATTCTGCCGTGCTCCTGGTCTTTCTCTTCCGTGCTCCTTAGCTCTTGGGGCCTATTCTGTCGTGATCCTGGTCTTCTTCAGCCTGCTCCTTTGCTTTTGGGGTCTATTCTGCCGTACTCTTTTGCTCTTGGGGTCTATTCTACCGTGTTCCTGGTCTTTTTCTGCCGTGCTCCTTCGCTTTCGGAGTTTTTTCTGCCGTACTCCTTTGCTCTTGGGGTCTATTCTGCTGTGATCCTGGTCTTTTTCTGCCGTGCTCCTTCGCTCTTTGGGCCTATTCTGCCGTGCTTCTGGTCTTTTTCTGCCGTGCGCGCCCAGAAGCTCCGCCAAAACGACCACCGCGACGATCCGCACGGCAGAATACAGGAGCACGGCAGAACACACAGAGCACACAGAGGCACGGCAGAACACAGAAGCACGGCCGAACAGGAGCATGGCAGAACACACAGGAACACAGCAAAACACACCCCGCACGCACGCCGACACGCGCGCGCCACGGCATACCTTCGCGGCGTAACAACAACAGAGCATATTCCACATGCTTGGTGGACTAAAGCGACGCTTCCCGTTCTTGTCCGGTCAGGTTCCTGTTTGACCAGATGTGGTATCATCAGCTGCGCCTCGCCGATAGCGTTCCAGGGGTGCCATAACCGTCTTGAACGGCCGCCTGTGGCCCGAGTCAGGGCCCGAACGCCATTCGGGACAGGGGCGCCGACATGGGGGGGATAGGCTCAGAGGAGGATGCATCGACCCCCAAGCGCCCACTCATCGCCGATAGGGGCCTGCTAGCATGCCCCGCCTAGGAACGTGTGGTTTCGCTATCGAGGGCCTATCGCCGATCTATCGGCGATGCACTACCGATTCCTGTTTGTTTTGTCCCCCCTTCAGCCGGTCCCCCCACCTACCCTTGCCCCTCACCCCAGAAGCAGGTGGGACGAAAGGGGGTCGGGATATCTGGGGCCGCGCACTGGAAACAATCACGTCGTCGGAGGACTGGAGACATTCCCAAGCCACCTCCAACTTGTTGAGCATCCTCGCTGTACTTGGCCTTCGCGCAGCCCTCGCTGGGCACCCGAGGGCCATCGAAAAAATGTCTCAGGGATGGACTCGTTTGTTTGTGCCTCATTGCCTTGCCTGCGCACTGCGCAGCACGCGCGCCGGATGACGGTTGTCGCTTGTGGTCCTGAAGAGGACCCAGCGTCCGAAGCGCGCCGCCAGCAAAAATATATTTTTATCGGTAGTGCGCTGAGCCCCAGCCAGGGTCGGGACTCAGGACTTCCGGGTACTCAACAGCACATCTGATCCATCGGTCCAGCGATCCAGGTTTTTCTTTATGTGGGCCACCGGACCTCTCGACAGGCCGATGTTGCATCCCGAGGCGTGTCTTGACGGCACCATGGGCGCGAGACCCGCGCCCAGAGTTCAGAAATGGTGACAGATTGGTCGCCTCCACTGGTTCGAAGCATCGGACGTCCGAGAAGACGACGGCGACGTTGACGGCCAGCCAGACGGCCGAGGCCCCACAGCGCAGCCACGCGACGGGCCTCCAGTGGATCGCTCGAGGGGCCTCCTAGGGATTGAGGCTGTTCGATCCCAGCATGTCTCTTCGACTTCGTCCTGGTGGGACCCGTCTTCTGGAAGCAGAGAGGCATCTACATGGTTTTCGCATGAAAGATTGGGTTCGATTACAACGGCGCCGAAAATGCAGATGGTTCCAAAAAGTCGCTGGGGCCCAGCCCTCAGAACGGACTATTCGTTCATTATGGTGGGACCCATCCGAAGATCCACAACCGAATGCGAGGAGGCGCAGCCAAAGACCCAGAAGGAGGTGGTTGGGTGATATTTTATTTATGTGTATATATATATATATATATGTGTTCCATGTCGCCAAGCTCTCCAGTTGAAGGAAGCGACAAACCCACACGATGTGCTGCACGTTCTCCTCAAGATGGCTGGCACAGAGGCATGGCGCGATTTGGAAGGCGGATTTGTCGAATATTCGATGCAGTGTCTGTACTTGCCAACTCCAGCTCACAATTCCAGATTTTTCCGGAAATTGGGAGGTTTTGGAGGAGGATGTCACGAAGTACAAGCCTTTGCGCTCCACCCCTCGCGGGTCGGCGTCTGCCGGACACAGCGCGCTTCAACATCCATTTGTCCGCGTCATGTTCCGACTCCAGTTCCTAGTTCCGACTCCAGCCCTTCTCTTTCCGACTCCTGGCCCCGGTCTCTACCCGATTCTCGTTCTTATTTTTCCGACTTGGGATACAATTTGACGAAATTTGTATCATGCGATTCCCGTCCTACATGATTGCCCCAGCACCCGTGATATGAATCAACGCGCATTTCTTACCATGTTTCTTCAGGAGGGAAAAAAAGCACACAGACACAATTAATCGCCGATTCCACAGAAAATATGTGAAAATATGGGAAGTGGGGGGGAAGACAAAGACCCAGAAAATATTGGTAAGTATAGAGGAATCCTGTTATTTGTGTGTGTATTTATTTGTGTGTCCTTGGGCCTCTTGATTTCTCTCCTGAGCTGGGGAACGACGGGGTGCCTGGCAACCCGTGATGTTAATCAGGGCGCATTGTTTATCGTGATGTTCCCATGTGCTGGGGAACGACGGGGCGCTTGGATACGACATGGGCGACACTCGTATCCCAGACATGATCGCGTCGTAAAAAAAATACAGGACGGCAAGTTTTTCGCTATTTTCTGCCCTGGGGGGCCCTCGCTGGGCCCGGGACCATCAAAAACGACTCAGGATGAAAAACCGGCCCTGGGGGAAAGGCTCCAGACGCATGTCTGGGATCAGGTCTCTCGGCGGCACATCCTATTTCCGACTCCGGCTCCTATGTATCCCTGGCCCCAGCTCCTGGCCTGAGCGGCCGGACGGCCTTACCTCGCCCTCCTTCCCCCTCTCCCTCTCTTGTTAGCAACGCGATACTTCTGTTTTACACGCCAGTGTTTGCCGGGCGCTTCGGCCCCACCCTGCAGCACCCCCGCGGTGCAAGACGCAGGCAGAGTTCCGAGTTCCGAGTTCCGGGGGGCCCGTCTTCGGGCCCCGGGGAAATCGACAGTTCACTTGGGGAAATGCCGCAGCCCGCCGCAGCGCTGTGGCAGCCCCCAGGCGAGGCCCCCGCTGCGCTGCCCTGGGAGCGTCGGGAGCCACCGTGCGTCGCAAGGCCACGGTGCGTCGCAGCCGATCGAGTTCGCCTGGCGTGCGATCCGCCAGCAGGGCGGAGAACACAGGCGCGCAGCGCCAGCCGCGCCCCCACCTCGGGCCCGCCGAGGAAAGCCGAGCTCGATCTTGCAGTCGGCTGCCGCCAGCTCCTTGACGAACCTCGCGCCGCTGCCGCCGCGCGGCCACGCCCGCTTCCTTCCACTCGCCACGCACCAGGGCCGAGACCCGCAGCCACCGTCATACCGTGAAGCAGCCAGCCCAGTGGAGCCCAACTGGCAGAGCGACCAGGCTCTGCACCAGCGGCTATGGCTGCCAGGCACCTGGCACTTGGCATGAGCCACAATGGTGACAGACCGGGGAGGGAGAGAGGGAGGGAGCAGGAAAAAGGGAGGGAAGAGGGAGCATGGGAGGGAGGCCTTCTCCTTGCTCTCCTCCCGGGTGGGTAGGCGGAGGAGGAAAGGGAAGAGTCGGGTGCTGCGGCTGCCTCACGCTGCCTCTGCCGCCAGGTGCTGAACGGCAAGAAGGCCAAGAAACAGAAGAAGGGCAAGGATAAGGACAAGGAGAAGGACAAGAAGGACAGGAAGGAGAAGAAAGAGAAGGACAAGGCGAGGGAGAAGGATGACAAGGCGCGGCCGCCGAAGTACTGCTTTCGTGCAAATCTTCGGAGGCATCAGAGACCTCAGAAAGTCTTTGGGAGCATCCAAACTGGTGCGAGAGCCCTCGTCTAGGGTGTCTTTGACAGTCCCAAGGCCCGAAGTGGGCCCCCAGAAGCCAAAGCTAAGAAAAACTGGCCGTTGCGATTTGTCGTGACACCATGGGTTTGTGTTCTCAACATCCGAATTTGTCCAAGAGCGGATTTTGGCAGGAATTTCGATGCGAATCCAGCCTTGGCGACGAGGGCGCCCTTGCAATCCAGAAGTACAAAATGTCCGCAAGTTTGAAAGAGCACTTTTCACGTTCTCTTGGGCAGGGGGGTCTGGTGCCCCCCGGGCAAAGTGGTGAGAGGGGGGTCCAGTTCCCCCCCCCACCTCGCTGCCCGCAAACGACGACGTCGTCGTCGTCGTTGTTTGCCCGCTGGCAGCGAGTAGGTGGTGCGGTTGTTGGACGTCCCCCCCTTGCGGCGGCATTTTCAATGCAATGTTCGAAGGCATGTGGATTTTTATGCGCTCTCTCGGAAGCTTCGATCCTCGATCATTCTCCCCATTACCCGTCGGCCGCTGAACGCCAGTACCGTTTGAATGCCACATCCCTATCTACCTTGAGCGCATTCCTGCTCCACCAATCGAGGAACTAGACGCCTGAGCGCATTTCCAGGCCACCCAGATGGGGCCTGAGTAGATATAATTGGACGATCGCGCCGCATCGTCGATGCGTCGGCTATGCGTTTCGATCTGAGACCCGAGTTTCCTCATCCCAGCGTCACCCGTGCATCGCGCCGATGTAGTTATCGGCGATGCAGTGCGACCTTTGGCCACACCTTGTCTGACCGTATCTAGCGGCTTTCGCTCCATCCCGCCACCGCGCATGGGTCGTTGACCAGATGTACATCGGAGTTGTCTGGGTTACTTAGGGGGACTGCTTGGAGGCTACTTCGGGGCGTCTCAGGGACCTCTGGGAGGCCTCTGAGCTCCGAGGCTTCCTGGGAACTCCTTGCGGGGATGTGGGGGCCTCAGGCGGCTCCTGGGAATCTAGATGTTGTAACTGCTTGCGCCTCCATTCGTTTCAGGTCGGGCATGCCCTCCTACAAGCGGATTTTGGATGAAAATTCAAAATGGTCAGAACATATCAAAACAAAATGTTCCAAACTAATGAAACAATCCTTCCCTGACTATTGTCTTACTATGTTGGATGATTCCTCCTGTAGAGGGTCATGCCCGCCTTAACATTTTTTCTCAATGATAGCGGGGAACTCATTGTTCATGGTTGGCGGCCAGTCGAGTTGGGGAGGGGTGGGAAATTCAGGGGCAGGTCTAGGATGAGCAATCGCTTTGGAACGGCCGCGGCTATCATCATCCAGATTTATCCTCATCTCGCCTCCGTAAGCACTAAAGCAGTGATAGCCCCCTCCCCGAAGGGGAAGAAGGGGGCCAGAACAACTACCTTTCGAAATCACATACGGGGCTGCTCAAGGTCCGATTCGGCCCAATCGGATCTCAAAACATCGATCTAGATCTCGATCCCATCCGGCCTGCAGCGGCCGAGACCGCTCGCGATCCCAATGGAGCCGATCCCGATCCGATTCCGCGCCGACCCAGGCTTGATCCGATCCGTTTCCGATCCCAGTCCGAGTTCTCGACCTGGTCCAGCTCTCAGGTCCTGCCGCTGGGATTCGAGGTGCACTTATCAGGCGGGGCTAGTACGAGGATAAATCCGTTCTGGAACGCTCCGAGAAGGCCGCGGCGTCCGGTACATCCTCCAGAGCCGCCAGATCTCAGAGATTCTCGATTTATCATCACCCGATTTGTCTTCGTCCCGGCTTCGTCTGAACTCACTGGCCATCGCCGCCCCCCGCCTGCGTTGTGGGCGGTGCTGGCCATCGGATGCTCTGCCGAAAAGGGGCTGCGGCGGCCGCGTGATGCGCAGAGGTGCTAGACGGTCACGGCCCTTTCGTCGACTCTCCCTCCCCCCTTCTCCTTAGGCAGGCTGCTGGGCGATTATTCGCATGTAGCGCCAGAAAGCCTGCAGGCTGCTGCGTGCAGGCCGCAAGGTCAGCTCCTCTGTGCACGCGGTGACAGCAGGCGTGAGGAGGTCGGAAAACAACGTGAAGGCGGACGTGATGGAGGCCCTTCCCCCTTCTCCCCCCTCCTCCTCCTCCGCCTCCTTCTCCATTCCTTTTCCTTACACATAATTTCTCCCTGTCGCAACCCGAGGCCAGTTTTTAGGGCGGCCGGGCGTTTCGCCTGAGACTTCCTCACCACTTGTGATTCTGAAGCTGAAGAATTGGCAACAGTTTCACAGATGGAGGGCAGGTGGTTTTCAAAATGTGGCTCTCGCCTTAGCGCGGCGCACATTCGTTGCGAAACATTGCAAGAGCTTCACGGATTGAGGGCGAGTGATTTTCAAAATGTGGCTCTCGCCTGAGCGCGGCGCGGGTGGTTTTCAAAACGTGGTTCCCGCTTAAGCGCGGCGCACATTCGTTTTAAACAGTTGCAAGGGTTTCACGGATTGAGGGTGGTTCTTTTTCAACATGTGGTTCTCGCTTGAGCGCGGCGCACATTCGTTCTATACAGTTGCAAGGGTTTCACGGACTGAGGGCGATTCTTTTTCAAAATGTAGCGTTCGTCTGAGCGCGGCGCACATTTGTTTTAAAATGTTGCAAGTGGCTCCTTTCCAAAATGTGGCTCTCGCCTGAGCGCCGCGCACATTCGACTGAAAAGTTGTAAGAGTTTCACGAATTCAGGGCAGATGGTTTTCAAAATGTGGTTCTCGCCTGAGCCTGAGCGCGCCGCACATTCGTTCAAATGTTTTCAAGAGTTTCACGGATTCCCATCATCAGCGTACCAGACATGGTGCTTTGGTGGAAGTGTTCAGGAGCATGCAGGTGCAACAATTACGTTGGTTCTCTCTGTTGAAGTCCTACGAATGGCGTTATGATACGGTTCAGGATCGTCAAGGCGCAACAGTCAGGTTGATCCGTGGCATTGGACATCCCGAGAACAATGTTTTGGCATGTTTCATGGTCTTCAAACGGGTGTCTTCCAACGAGGCTGTTCCATCAATGGAGATGAACTGTTGTAGGGGCCTATGGAGAGGGATCTTGGAGGTAGGGTTCACTCCAATATCGTTGATGACTCTTGGGTTTACACTGGTCCTCGTCCTCCTCCTCCTCCTCCTCGTGGCCCTCTTCGGGGGTCCGTCGCCGCGTGTGGATTCACTTCGAAGTCCTTGTCATAGTGCGCCCCGTGAGGGGCGCGGTTGTGTTTTTTGATTGAGGGAGGGAGGCGGAGACGCACCAGAACTCCAGACACCCCCCGAACGCCCCCCGACTACAAGTATGGCCCATGCATCAGTGGAACAATGTGCACGTACGCCCACCAAGCCCAGGAAACGCAATATTCGCGTATGTGAACAGACGGCGGTAGCTCACCCGCCCTGAGTCGCTTCTCCAGTGTGTTGCGTCCTGGTTGCGGGGTTGCCTGTCGTTGCCTGCGATGCTTGTTTTATGTCATGCGTGGTCAGGGTCGCCTTGGTAGAGTGGTCGCCTGCCGTTGCTCCCAGTGCGTGCGTTGCTTTGGGTGCACGAACATCGAAGACGCGCGCGCTCGTCTTCTAGTAAGCAGGAAGCGACGACAAGCAACCACTCAACTAAGGCTGCCGCGGGAAGCGCGGGACGACGACGACGTCGACAACACCAAAGATGCCACCGCCGACGACGACGACGACGACGACGACAGGAGTCAATCACTAAGGCCTGTGCAGATCCTGTGTTCGTGGAGCGGCTTGGAAGCCTCTTGGGGCCCTGTTGGAGGCCCCTTGGGCCCCGTTGGGGATCTTTTCGGGCCTCATGGGGATCCCATCGGTCAAAGGAGGGGGTATTCAAGTACGCCCCCCCCCATACGGTCTGTGCCAGAACATTGGCCTCTTGGGGCCCTCTTGGGTGCTCTTCGCGCCTTCCTGGGGCCATCTTGAGGCCTGAAGAGCCCATCGGAAGCGAAGCGAAGTGCACGCGGGAGGCCTCTTTGGGAGGCTCGGAGGGCACTTGGGGCCGTCCTGGGACGATTTTGAGGGCTTTTGGAGGCATTGAGAGCTATCGTGAACCATACTCGGATATCTTGAGCGATCTTGGAGGTCACTCGGGCTCCCAGGGGCCCTCTTGGAGCAGCCTGGGGTCAACAGGATCCTCAGACACTTCGCGGGGGGAGTCAGACCCAGGGGGGAGAGAGAGTTAGCAGAACGAGCTCGTTAGGCCACTTACGCCCAGAGGGCTGGTGTGATTTTGAAATCCGACGGCGCCGACAGAGCCACGACCGCAGCCCTAGATGATCCCATGGTCCAACTGCATTTGTTTTAAGCCCGGCCGATTCGTGAGGACCCCCGACCCCGACACCAAACGGCGACAAATGCGATGCACATATCTACAGAGGGGGAATTTTGGAGCCTCCGAGACGAAGTCGTCGTCTCTCGCCGATCGCCGCCACCGCCGCCGCCGCCGCCGTCGTCGTCGTCGTCGTCGTCGTCGTCGTCGTCGTCATCGTCGTCGTCGTCATCGTCGAGGCGCCGTCGTCGTCGCAGAGGCGTCTGTTTGTCGCACGTCGTCGTGGCCGAAGTCGAGCCGTCGTCGCTCGTCGTCGTCAATATCGTCGTCGCTGGAGGCATCTGGCAGCGACTCCGCCACGGGCTCGGAGTCCGGGGGCTCGGACGCGGACGAGTACGAGGACGAGTCCGAGCTCTCAGGCGCGCCTCCTGCTCGCTGGATGTATGTGCACATGGTAGTGCTGGTCACGCCACACGCGTTATTCCTCGGCTCGGTGACA